AAACCGTTATATATTTGTCTTTATGCTACACGTGTAGTAAAACTTAGCTCCTATCGTTTCAATTACCAGTTATTTGCATTACTTGGATTCAGAGGATTATTTTATGTATTCAGCTCTTGAACAAAGTCGCCATTTTTATGTTTAAGAAACAGTAGATTGTACCTACATGCATGAATACAGCTCATGCAGAGCAAGCAATCGTCTGGACACCAGTATGAATCAGGCAATCAATAACACTCCAAATCACATGCGACATGACTTTGTGTTTGCAAAACAACTTACTTTCATGTTTACGCTAAAGTATATTTGATATATTGCATGATTTGTTCCTCTTTGTTAAAGAACTTTATGTCACGGCGTATAAAATATTCAGTTCGATAATGTTTCCTCGTTGAGGTATTGGTAATGTACATTAGGTCGACCTATAGTATTCATGTACAGAATGGTATTGATACTACCGAATAGGTCATACCATTAATAATACAGTGAAAATTACCAAGTGAACACCTATCTCGAAAAAGAAATAGTAAGCCCGTTGGTATTATCACGTGACCGTAAAAAGCGCCATGCTACCTTGACCAGGTTATAACATTTCAGTGCAAAGACATTTGTAGCAATCTGATTCGATTGTATTTGTAGTTGCCGTTTTTTTACCAAGCCATCCGTGAACCCCACCTTTCACATAATTAAAGAAGTCCGCTATACGTTACTTTTCCTAGCTTTACAATATAATTTTGGCGTACATTCATTTGTCAAAGAGCTTGGGACTTTGCTAGTTCAAAGTTTAGTATGAAACGACTCCATATATCTGTCTAAATATATATCAGAATTGCCCTAGCTATTTTACATCGCACTAGAACCGAAAACAACGTGGCAAATTAGATTAGTACAACGTTAGTAGCATCTGTATATATCTCAGCAAAGATTATTTTCCATGAAAGAATGTCGGTTAATATTTATGAATTTACTTCCATTGTGACGGCGTATACGGTAGTATGAACGCAGTTGGCAACGAACAATTCTATGGTGCGCGTTGTACGCCATCAAAATAAAGGTCAATCCTTATATTTACATCATAAATAATGTTCAAATGCTACAAAAATAAAGAAACATTCCAAGCGGGTTGATACGATGGTAAGTAAGGTAGTAGTGGTATCTAGGATAATATAGTTCCAGTGAATCTACATCGATATATGGGGAAATTTAGAAATTTCTTCTTTCATAGCTTTTAAATATTTAATTAAGTAATATTAGTAGCACTTGTTGCATTGACATACTTCTCTGGGATTGTTTACTATATTTTCAAGTTTGCCAGCATCTCTTTGTTGAATATTCAGACATAATAATTATCCCGAATATGTTCCATGTTTTTTAGATGTCGAAGGAACCAAACAATGGCTGTCATCGACAGTTACCTTTTGAAGCGAGAAACAATGCCATATTTGAAATAGATATCAATCCGTCGAGCCTTTTTTCATTGCGTATACGCTAATGTATACGCAGTGAGAGTTTGCTAAGCTGAAAAGGGACATATGTAAAGCCACCAGTAAGTGGAATGACAACACAATACGGAGATATGTGCCAGACACTAAACAGTTGAGTCTTAATAGTATCACATTTCACTGTGACGTACGTCGTCATTCTAAGAATACACCTAAATGCATTTATGCCATATATTCCCTAAATACATCCATACATCTAAAATATACATTCATTGCTTAGCTCTATTACAAGTTCGGCATAATAGCTATTTCTCTTCGTTTAACTAAGTACCTAGATTAATGTATACAATACAAACGGGCTTTATCGATCCTTATTAAAGAAGTTTTTCGGACGGAATTATACTTTTATACGTTTTTGTATAGCGCATCCGCGTACTAATACACTTACAACACAACGTTTTGAGATATTTCAGAGATTAGGTGCGGATTATATGCTCGCCATTATGATTTCCTTGGGAAGTATTCAATTTGATTGTTTGATATGTAGGTCAATGATAGTTATGTTACTTATAAGTGCGCCTTTGTTGTTTCGTTACAGTAGCCCGGTTTAGCACTTTGCATTATTTATTACTCGGATTTGACCTGGATTGAAATTTACGGTGTCGACTCTTACTTCTCAGGAACACCTTGTCATATTCTGGTACTTTTCCAAAAACACATATTTCATTTCTTTATATTGCTGCATTGCAGGGGTCGTGTTCATCTAATTCATTGAAGCGCTTCAGACATTACGAGTTCGTTACTGAGAGGGAGAAAGGCATGATTTTCCTCGTCCAAGGTTGACCTGCCTCAGATCATAAATAGCAAATAGTTGAAATCAAGTCAAGATAAGTTTATTAGGCTAGATGAGATGATATACATTCAATCAGCAGTTTGATTTTAAAGGATGAGTAGGCATACCGCATTAGTCTATACATGTACTTGGAAATCGTTTTCATCTATTTTGTTCATTTATCCTATTCGAAAAAATTATCTATAGGAACGTAAAAACTAAACTTATTATTACCAACATAATATTTGATCATAATTGAAACAGTGATTAACATAGATTTCAAAAATGGTCCACCTGTGTATAAATAACATTCTGATGCAATTATTTGTAATGGATAATGGAAATAATGTCAACTATTAGCATTGAACTTGAAATGCAGAGAAGAAGAATTGTGAAGTTTGAACAAAAGCATTTTATAACTATAACTATGTTGTTGGATATGAATAGTATATAACTCTTCTGCAGATGGATACAAAATCGCCTGTAAGGTATCAGAATTAGAAAGAATAATAGTATTAAAGGAATAAATATAGAAAACACACCAATATTACTATCTCAATATGCTGATGATACTTCAGGTATTCTTGACGGGTCGAAAAAACTCTTTTAGGGAAACATTAGGGGAATTAAACACATATGCAAAATTGTCGGATTAAAAATAAACAACTAAAACTAAAGAAATTTGGATGGGAAGCGAAAAATACAGTGAGGATACAATTTTTCCAGAGTGGAACTTGCATTCGGGGGAACCATAAGATTACTGTATAAGGGATTAATTTTCACATTGATTTACATGATAAAACTTAAAACTTAATTATGATAAAAAAATGGTAAAAGAGCAGCAAAATAAATATCCTTACTTTGCAGGTGTTCCCAAATTAGTTACCAGTAATAACACTTGAAGGTTAAATGCTTTTCCCTTTGTGTTATAAACTAGTCAATCAACGCTGGCAGCAGGTCGTATCAAGTATCCTTTTACAAACTCCATTATCTTTTTCTAAAGGAAAAGTCATGCATGCCGGGTAATCATCCATTGAAAAAAATGTTTATAGTGCACAATACTCGTATTTAAATATCGTTAAAATACTAACTTTGATTTAATATGTACAAGATAAGCGGACCGAGGGCCTTAGCGGTCATCTAAGTAATATTATAGATATTGGTAGCTCAATTTCATTGTTGAGATGTGATGTGGAAATCAACATGTAAACAAAGTGAAATACAATACTTATCATGTTACCAAAGGAAAAAAAACTTAAAAAACAATTCAAATAGATTATTTTGCCTTTGAGAAATATAATATCTATTGTCATTCAGCCAATTTTTCTCTTCGGCCAACCCCAATAAGTCATTGTCGTATGTCAGGATATTACTTTCTGAACCTATTTGATTTCAATTTCATCATAACTATTCAAACAAAGTTGGAATTATTTGTTGCTGAAAATGGACAAGATATAGCCAGACGTATTATTTCCTTATATACACCAATGAAAACATATGACCAAAGGGTAATAAAACTAACACTTTATATAGTGCACCTAAGGGCATTTCCATCTATAAAATAAAGTTCAATCTTGTACATCTCAGCGCAGATATCTTTTCAAATATCAGCCATTTTCCACCTTTTGGCCCCACCCCTCTAGTCCCTAGGGCAAGGGCAAAGAATTCCACCGTACTTTAAATTATTTCTTGCCGAGATTAGACATTTACCCTCTCCCCAAGGGAGAGCAGATGACCTGGGGATAATACAGTTTACAGTTTATATAAAGCCCCTGATGATCTTTTCATACATGCAGAAACTCTGCTTGCAGTACATCTGAGTCAGGAAAAGAAGATTTTTGGAATATTGGAAAGTTTTTCCAACCCTGGGGTAAGGGCATGCATCCAAATTTTACATTTTGATACCCTCTTCCACCAAGGATGGTCCCTACCAAGCTTTTATACAAAGTCATTAAAAAAGATGTTACGCTTAAATTGTCATTGAAAAGACAACTGGGCCATAGAATCCCACAAGGTGTATGTTTTAAAATTAAAACAATTGTCAAATATGATACATGTATATAATCTGCCTATATTTGACTTTCTGTGTCCACACTTTCCGTTTTACAATGTTGACTCATTTGGCCTAACATATTAATTTGAAACAAAATATGACCTAGTAATGCTTTTAAATATGAATTGACAGATGGTCGGTCAGACGCACGGAAAGTGTACCTGGTCCGTTACACCAAGTGGGTTAAAACGACAATGAAAACAAAATTATCAATACTATATATATACTAGTCCACTTGATATGTGTATGGATAAAAAAGTGACTAAATAATTAAATGCCAAAGATGAGGAATAAAAATGTAAAATTCGTAATCTAAACATATATATTTCTTCGCGGGGAATTAGCTACTTGCTCAAACTAGAGTACATCTTTTCGAATGCAGTTTATCCTAGAATCGAACGACATTTTTCTTCGTTTACATTGCATCCCGGATTTTCATAGTATTTTTAGTGTAAGTTTCCCCGTTCTGTTGTAGCTGTGTTTTGTGTTTATTGTGTTCCTCAAGGTTCGTAAACAACAGTCATAAATGGTGATGTTTTTGGTGTTGTGAGTCGTTGTTCCATTTGAAAATGGTTACACCTGAATCATTATACCGACATGAAATCGCATATGATAATATCACTTGCATCGTATCGCATACAATGTATAAAGAATGATTTTGCATGTCCGTCCATTATATCCCACAAATCGAGTACAGGTTTTGCTGACAATCGACACTGGTCAGACCTGTCAGGGTCAACATGACACAGTGGCCTTCAGTAGGATCGGGGTTGCCAGGAGGCCAGAAGGCACTGTTGAGAACATCCGTTCCTCCACTGTACCGCCAGACGTGAGAACTGTAGACTCCGGAAACGTAGAATCTGTAGTCTTGTTCTGACATAACAAAACGATAAAGCAGGCAATTAATAAACATAGAATGTATAGGATTGTTATAGTTTAAAAACATTATTGATAGAAAGTATCACTCTTGTGTTATCTAGATTGAATAAATTCAACCGATAGGCAATACATTCATGTTAAGCAGGATGTTTTGCCATGAGCTTATTTTCTTATGCTGAGGTTTAACATTTCTTTGTCTGCATCATGCAGGAAAGATCGATTTCTTTAAAACATACGCTCACAGCTGTGAATAACGAATGCTGTTTTGGGATATTTAGTTCTTGTTGTTTTCATAATATTTTATTTTTACTTTGAAGGTATACTACCTTTTTATTCTCGGTTACAAAACGTTTCTCAAAACAGTAGTGACAATTGTAACATATTTCGGAGTATAAGAACATATCATGTGAAATATCCTGCACTCAATAATTGACGCCGTTGTTAAATATTTTCGTTTCACTGTTAAAAAACGATGATTCTGTTTTTGCTTACCCAACACACGGTATCTGTTGATGGTGTTATGTAGACTGGTCAGTTTAGACGTTGTATCGACCCTCATCAATTGTGTGTACTGTCTTGTACAGGTAGTTGAAGCATCTGTCTGGTTATTCCTCACTTCAATGATATTGTACAACATAGCAGCTCCCTGGTCTTCTTTGTACCCATACATGTCCAGGATATCTGTATTAAGTAAAACAAAAATATAACAAAAACCTTGCATTTTATATCCAGCATTGTCCCAAAGCACGTTTCTCTCACAAATATAGCAAATAAAAACATGTGTCCCAGTCTGCTGCTATGTTAAGTATTCACAGAAAGATTTGAAACTTGCAATTTGAACACTCCAGTGCCGTAACATCGTTTATAGCGTCCGGGTTGGTTTTGGTTATAGTGCTGTCTATCAACGTTTAAAAGATTGCAGAGATTCGGTAATAACATATGACCATCGTCCCAACACCCTCGAATTATAATCACTTTTGATAATTGTATATGAAAGTTATCTTCATTAAATTGTTATAATTAATATTTGCGTAACTTGTTATTGAAAAGTAATCAGAATGTTTTCAATTTCATATTTTCAAAATCAATTTTAAAACCTTGCTGTAATTCTCATGTTAACCTGTATAAGATAACCATCTGAAATAGAAGATCACTTAATTGATATGTTCAAAGATGTATTGAAATACAAGTATTACTTATTTGAATTATACTTGTAAGAGGAACATTAACGCGCGTGCGCGCTTGTCTCCAAGAGATTATTCATGAAACTAAAGCACAGCTGTAAATAAACATTCGCCCTAATATTCTGTACATTTCGTCCTAGATTGATCATATCTTACCTACACCTACGTCAGACGTGTAACACCCTGGTTTGACGACCCAGGTTTTGTAACACGTACACCGATGTATTCCGTCGACGGTGTGGTAGGTGTATGACTTGCATGAAGCATGATTGTAGCAGCTCAATGCACATTCCTTCAGGGATGGAACTGACGACATAGATGTGATGACGGAATGCGTGCCCATCATTTCTTCAGTAAGGATTACAGACTTTCTTGAGAAATTATAATGTCCTCCTGATCAACAGAAATAGTCATAGTAAAATAACTATAGTAACGATGGATACCATACTTCAGACAAAAAGGGTACTTATTTCCACTACCTTATCAGGCTAAGAATGGAACATTCAAAATTAAGAATAATATGTCGATTTTATGATGTAGTGTGCAACACTTGTCACCGTGTTGAGTAGTTGTGTGAACAGTCCCGATACAGATTTTGATGAGTACCTTCCACATGTTATTCTGGCTTACCGCGCAACTGAGTCAGAAAGTAAACACATTAACCTTATTGATTGATGTTGCGGAGAGAATCCAGCACACCAGTTTCAATTGCCAAAGCAAATTAGGTTCATCAACATGAAAGACAAAATGTGGGTGGGAGCCGGAAACGCCTACAAACTGTACTGATATAGGAGGTTGGCCTGGACTAAGAGTATTATGTTGAATTCACGATTAAGTATGTACATGTCACCATGTTGAGTGTTTGTTTTATTAACAGTCACCAGACAAATTAAAATGAACATCTCCCTTTTGTAATGGTGGCCTCCCGCTCAAATGAGCAAGAAACCAAACTCATTTCCTATTAGATAATGTTCGACAGAGAAACCGGCACCCCATAGATATCCAGCTTGAAATGCCAAGGCAGATGCAGGCCATTTCCCAGAGTCAGTAGGCATGGTAGCTGCACGAGCGAATAGAGAATGCTCATCAGAACCTATGGCAAAATAGACACAGCCAAAAAAGGTACTGAAACAAGAAGCTTGTCTCGACTGACCTCGAGCCTTGGGACTCCATGTATATCTCTTATCTCATATCTCTTAAGGAAATAACATATTTCTCTGCAAAATAATAGTGGCGACCATATAACTTATCCTTATACGTCATCAACCTGCGTCTTTGGAACCTTGTGATGTACGTTTGTCCGTCAGCATTCAACATCTGTGACATGTACACTCGGGATGTAGGGAAACAGTAATGTTGCTTTCAAGAAAGCGTAATCTCACGTTCGGAAAGTCGCAATTGTCCCGCGTATTATACAGCTTAGCAGTAAGCCGTCCCTGTTGGTCATGCTGTTAGTAATGATCTGGAAAAGCGGCTTTAGTAGATGAGTCTGTGGTGTCCTTGATTTCAAGGTCTGTAGGATATCTACAATCGACGTTGTCCTTTCGCAACATGGTCTAGTAAACCACAATATTCTATAGTGGTGCACAGAGAATACATGGTAATAATCGACACTCTGCTAATAAAGAGATTTATCATCTCTGTATTACATTCGCTCAAACAAGGGGGTAGTGAACAACTAAATATGCAAGAAAAATTGAATAGCTGTCATCAAATACTGTAAAAAGTAAACGTAGATCGCAATCGTATAACTTATAGTACTTATCACGTGAAAAAGTTCGTGAAATGTTGGTTATGAAAACTTATACCGCAGTACTTTGACCAAAATTCATATACGGAAATCAGGAAAGGGGCATGACTGTAATAAGAAACAAGAGGCCCATGGGCCTTAACGGTCACCTGATATGTTTATACAGAGAGTTGATTTTGTTTTTAACATGAACAGAAATATTATTCAAAGTGACAAAAAACAATAAAACCACCTTACTCAATATCTAGCATACAGATTTCAGACTAAAAAGGATTTGAAACTAGCACCTACAGCCCTTGGGGGTAGGGCTGGCTCAAAATTTTCAAAGTATCAAACTGTCAATTCAAGGTTATAATTCCAATCAAGTTATTAACATGTAATATTCAAAGTATCATTTG